TTCGCTTCTCTAAACAATTACATATTTCGCCATGCTGTCTCACTCATTCTATGTAATGAAGAATGGCATCATTGTGTAATGATAATTTAATTTTAACTTTTTCTATTATATACTACAATTTGTGTAGCTATTTAATAAAGGACTCTTTTTCTTATGTATCTGGAATGCCAAAAGAACTATCCAACCAGTTGTTGAAATTAGATAAAAGTCTCTTATCATGAAGGTGGCATCATTGTGTAATGATAATTTAATTTTAACTTTTTCTATTATATACTACAATTTGTGTAGCTATTTAATAAAGGACTCTTTTTCTTATGTATCTGGAATGCCAAATGAACTATCCAACCAGTTGTTGAAATTAGATAAAAGTCTCTTATCATTCAAATCAAATCGAATCAAATTAGATTATTTGTTACTGTAATATAATGTCCCATTATGTTTTGCCTCATTAGGCCTGCAAAATATATAAATATTATATGATATATTATTTAATTATTAAAACAATTGTCATCTGAGTTGTTATAAATGTATATTATTATTATTACATTATTATTCACTTTCAACCTTACCCATGCGGGATCTTCTGTTTTTTAAATGGAATAGAAGATAACCTATTTTCTTCTTCGTGGTTTAAAATGCCATCCAATTTCATTAGTCTAGAGACTACAGCATGGGGATTTTCAATAAGGTTTCTTAAGGGGCGGCAACGCGCTCTTGACACTCCTGATGTTTCAGGTGTCCGTAGGTTACGGTAACTGTTTACCATTAAATGGGCTGTATGCTAGTGTGCCACCATTGTAGTATAAAAAATAACAAGCTAACAGACAGACAGACAGTATCTCTCAAGCGTTCAAACCGAGTAATAAAGTTATTTTTCATATCAATTTTATTATAGGTATTATAGCTCCCCTAGCTTGTTATTTTACTGCCTATAGTTCTCCGCTTTCAAATAGGAACATAGAATGAGATGAAGCAGAGTTACCCACGCCAATGACTTTGTTCAAAGTCCTGGTAATGACATAGGAAAATCGTTCTGTTTGAGAAAATAAACAAATGGGTAACGTTTAATAAAATTTAAATACCATTCAAAATTATTTTTGTATGACATCATTGTTATGTTTCGAATACGAATATATTGCGAATTACGTTCTGCATTTTTTATTGATAAGTACTTTCAGCGAAGTAAGAAAAGTACATAGGAAAGATAGGGACTGCATATTTTTATTATAGTTATGTAATTTCGGCGAATAAAGAAAAGGGACATGGAATGGATAATAGAGAACAATTTAGAGGGAAAAAAGTGGTACATGAGCAAGGCTTTATCGCCAAAGTTAAGCATATACTCTATGGTTAATATAACAACATTACCCGTGGATTGCATCCAATATTTGATAATGTAATACCCTTTACAATAGACAATTACAATGCAAGGAACAAGATTATTATCAAATCATTCGAAAAAATCGGAAGTACTGAGTAAGTGGTTGCGTTGTCGTTACGAGATGTGACGCAATGTGGAAATGTTAAATCTTTTTTGTTCGTTACTATTAATTGACTTTCTCGTTATAATATATGGTTTCTACTATTATATATACCTAAGTAGTTCTGATCATCGCTCGGTAAACATTTGCGAGTTAAGTACAAATTCGATTTGAAATTGTGATAGGTGTAATCTTTTGCAGTTTTCACGTATTTTATGCTGCGATGGTAGATGGTATTATATCATATTTTTGTTATCCAACTATGTATACAATATATTAGTTATTGCAGTACAAAAACAATTGCTCTATGTAAGTTGAGACTCATTTATTACTGAAATTACTTGCATACTTAAGTTTAGTAGTTTATATTCACACAAAATCTTAACAACATATTGTTTAAAGTACAAAAGACATCTGTTTAAAAGTACAAAACACAAAGTTTGTTCATTCTTCAAATAATGTTTCAAAAATGTTTATGTTAAGTATATTTGATTAAAGATTATTTCTATTTAGAAGAGACATACATTTCCGTTCCTTTTCGTCCAACAATTCCATTCTAAACTTCCTTCCATTACATAATATGAGAAGAAACAATGTTCCCACTGTACTCACTGAGTATTCAATTCTACGAGTGATTCAGATTAACGTCCGCGCTACTTTCCATTACGTGCTCTGCGTACAAGTGAAGCGGTTAGATTCATCTGACCTATGACTTGGATGTTATACGATTATCTCTTTACGTAACAATAAAACAAAGATATAAGACATAGTAAACATTTATAAAAATGACGGAAACGTTATTTTGATAACTTTATTTTATTATAAAGTATTCTCTGACTTGTTATCATTGATTGTATTTTGTATTAATTTAATTAGATCTATCAGTGTACCAATTTTCATTGAAATCTTTACAGCACCTCAAGGAATTGTTTTTGGCTTATTATGATATGGGTATGCTCACGATTAGGGTATTCGATTACGGGATTCCAGTACAAATCAAATCAAAACATATTTATACATGTAGGTCTGTTACAGACTCTTATAATATGTCAAATCTTCCGTCAGTTCGGAATGCTTTGAGATGAGAAAAACTGACAAGAAACTCAGCTCATATTTTTTCCAAATATGGTTGTACATGTTTACAATAATAAAGATTGATATTTAAATTCAAATTTGAGAGAATGCAGTGACCATGCATATGATATAACAATTTTGTCAAAAGCTATAAAAATACGGTATATTCGGGTTACGAACTGATTAGACAATCAGTGTTCGTAATCCGAACAGACAAGTCCCCATAAGTAGCACTCGCACAGGATGATAAGATGAAGATATAGTCAGGCCTGTCAGCAAGTCGTGGCGGCTTCGGCAGGAAATAACCACAACGCTTTTTAGGGACATGGACATAGCTTGTGACTAGATGGCGCTATGAAAAATAATGTTATTATTATTAAAGTTATATAAAGTATACTATAACTCTTTTAAAATCATTAAGTTTAGACTGGTACTCTAAATATACTTGATCAATCAGCTGATCATCTTCAAAACAATGAAGGTTCTCAATTGAGTTAGGCCATCGTCAATCTGTGTCAGATCAATATGGTGCAAGGTCAGAGCAATGATAGTTGATGAGGAGGTGTTGACTAGTCACAATTGACACATTGACAATTCGCAGAGGCCTGTTACTTTGATATACAAGTGATTATGAGCACAATGATCACTAATACTCGACATTACATGATTTCGTGTCAAGATCTTCATTTAGAAGGTTGTTATCTGTCGACCTTGGTGTAGCGGATTAACACACTGCTTCAATTTCCGATGGTCGAGTTCACAAGTTCGAGTCTGGGATAATCCCAATATTTGTAAATATGACTTTACATCTGGATGTATGACATATATGTACGTTATGAATGCGTTAAAAATTTTATTCTATGAATAGTTTAGCACCCATAATGCAAGATTGCTTTAGTTTGGGACTAGATTGCATTGTGATATATATTAAGTTTTTATATTTTTTTCTTTATATTTTACACCTACCAATATTTTAATTAAATACTATTTGTATATATGTATGTATATTTTTTTATATATTTTTTCTTTCCATTATATATATAGTACATTATATATATATATATTATAGTATAAGAGATTTCTATTATATAGCGATAATGACGACAATAAAGTTCACAAATTCTATTATAATTCTGAACTATTCTATAATACTGTTCACAACTGGTCTTTCCAGCTTCGTCGAACGATATGGGGATTGGTGTGGGTCACTCCTAGCATTCGAAAGGAGTTATGAAGCGGCTGAAAGCCAACTCATACCTGACAGATATCAATTTTTATGTTATTGTGTATGAGACATTGCTTGAATATTGATTTCATGCTATTTTTAGGGTGGTCTCTTGTGGATCACAAATTTAGAGTTCAAACTATGTCACCAGTAAATTCTCACATAAGTGTTACCACTATACAAATTAAGCCTGATGCTAAACTTGATGTTAAGTAACACAGTTACAGTGTGAATGAATGGTTATAAATCCTACTATTCATTAGATGTAGCAACATTTAACATCTTAATGCATTTTGTCCTGCAATAAATATAGAGAATCTAAGTAGCTTGGTACTTATTTCGAAATGGATTTGAATAAAATAAGATTGGTAAATGCTAGATAAACTGTTACCACTAGAGATGTGTCAACGCGAGTTAACCCGAGATAACTCGAGTTACCTGAATTTCAACTCAAGTTAACTCGAGTCATGTTTCTTAAGAGTTATCACATCACTAGTTCCCATCTTAATAAATTTAAATAAAATACGATTGGTAATTGCGAGATTAACTGTCGCCTATTTCAGCCGACTGACAGCTTGCTTTGCAAACAGTGCGAAATCGAAATAGAAATATTCTTTACTCAAATAAACTTCGTAAGCACTTTTGTATAGTCCTATTTTTTTTTTCTACCACTCATTCGGAACGCAGATTAGTTACAAGAAGAATGAGCAAGAAACTTACGTGTTCCCTTTTAAGGAAATTTCGATTTATATATATACACCATTGACAAGAAGGAGGTATGCAATCAACTATCAATAGACACCACTACGCACTCATTCTTTATGCAGTCAGATAATAGTGTCAGGGTGGGTGGGTAATGGTGAGTGGTAAATGCTTAATGATAGTAAAATTGGGTGTATGGAAACAAAATATCTTAGTCCGCATCTGGCACTGAGTCCAATGATGTTCGAAAGTACGACCGACGAGGTTGGAGGCTGTTTGGGTCCCCCTGAATTCTACACATCTGTGATGAAGTTCTGTTCTGTATTATGACTTGAAAGTCTAGACGACTTCATGATATCATGGCATTCGCGCGACTACAGAGATCTCTAATGCGTTACAGATCTGAGAGAGCCACAACAATATCCTAAACCCATTACATTATTTATGACGTACTAAATATTACTAATATTGTTTACATAAAATATGCATTAATAACAATTATGGTATTTTATTTACAGTTAATATGGACGAGTGCCCGTGGTGGAGACGGATACAGCTGCCCATACGGACAGAATTGTGGATTTGAACCTGCACCACCAGGGCGGGCCCCCGCGTGCGCGCAACCAGGACTCACATACTGCTTATATCCTGACCCGTATCCAGAGTAAGTTATACTTATTTTTTTATATTTACATAGGACAAAACAAAGTCGTCCGTCAAAATTGTACGCTTAGACTTTTGAATTACACAACTGATTTTAATGCGACTTACAACAAAAGATAGAGTCATTCAAGAGAAAAGTGTATATCAAAATAAAAAATATATTTATTCATGTTTATTACAGTCTCTTATGATATATCAAATCTACCATCAGTACAAGAATCTAAGCTTGTATTCTTTTCAAATAAGCTTACCTGTATATATTTGATGAAACCTATGTTCTTGTATATGTATAATATATGCGCATTATGATATAGAAAAGCCGAGTAATACACCCGTGTAAAGCTGTAATATTATAAATACAAAAGTGTGTTACGGATACGAAATATAAAAGTGTGTCCTTCAAAACGAATGATGAAATTTCACATGAAGTTTTTATCTCGAGTAAATATAATCTTGGCTAGCTTACTATGTTTATTCCGCGTAATTTCCAATCATCCTGTATTTTGCAATAATAATAATAACAATTATATCTCAGGACAATTCACACAGCGCCATCTAGTCCCAATCTAAACCGAGATTGTGTTGTGGGTACTAGACAACTGATATAAATGCATAGATATACTTTTTTATAAATAGGTATATTCATAATATACACAACTAATACCCTGATTAATACAAACAATAATAACTGATTGATATAAACAATAATACTCATGAATACAAATGTGCCGTACCGTGCGAGGAATCTAACCCGCGACCCTCGGAAGTAAAGCGGGGTGCTAAACCGTATATATGTAATATATAAATTTGTGTATTTGAAATTGTCTTTAACCAATCGACTTTTCCTACTACTGGGCTGCAAAGTTAGGTTTCCTGAAACCTAATTTATAGAAAACCTCTAAAGATCGTCCACAGAACTAGCATCGTCGGTTTTACCGGACATATCCTGTAATTTCACTGTCTTATCTCAATTTTCGAACTGGATTACTTGCAATGCAAACTGCTTAGCATGTTTGTCTACTTTGAAACACTTAAAGCTCGTACGAGGATATAAAAATCTGATAAAATCTCGTAGGTACTCTCTCCACATCTCTCTAACCTCATACTGGATAATTTATATCGTATTATTGTCGTAGGTTAAAAAGTAGTATAAACATGTATAAATGTCTCCTTCAGTCCTGAAGGGCGCCAAGGATTCTTCTATGATTGTATTTGTAGTCTACTTTAGCAATATCTAGATGTATACCAATTCTTAATATTTATTTTTTTACTTTTTTTTTCTCACTACTCTAAGGCTGTTGGCCACAGCTGGCCTTTACTGTTTCACCGAACGATAGGGGGCGAGTGCAGATGGCACTCCAAACCCGCGGAAGGACTTATGGAACGGCTGAAGTTCAACTTCCGCCTGACGGATACGACTTTAGTCTGAGGGCACCGCTAGGAATTGGAACCTGGGCTCAGGCCGTCGTAATTTCGATCCCCGTTTGAAGTGAATGGGGGACCGATCGGAGAGGTTTTTTTAACACGTGCAATTTCATATATATTTCAGGCACGTGATCCGGCAACTAATAGAAGCAGGACAATACGACATCCGCACTCTTCTATCAGATGAGAGTCGTGATGATTTCAACTCCAATAAAAAAGTTGATTATCCATATGGCTACGGACCGAATTCGCTCCCTCATGTGGACCAGATCTCATTGGTCAACGATGGAATATTCCAGAAGAATTTCAACACTAAATACCATACAAGATTTAATCACGGTAAAGACATCTAATTTACTATTTAATAATAATAAGAATAATCTCAGGACAATTTACACAGCACCATCTAGACTCAAGTAAAGCTAGCTGAAGCATGTGTAACGGGTGCTAGATAATTGATGCAAATAAATCGATTTTTTTTATAAAAACATACATACATACATAGAACACACTCAGACCGACACAAACAATTATAGTAATGAATAATAAAAAATGTTTCTGCCGTTCGAGAGTCCAACCCGCGACCGTCGGAAGTAAGGCCTTTGTTAAACCGCTAGACTACCGAGGCCATCGGAATATTTGGTTTTCTAGTATGCAATGAGATAATTTTATTAATAAAAAGTAATTAAGAAATTTATTTTGATTATTACGACTATTGAAGTTTTTCTTTAAACTACTGGAATGTTGTATAAACTGTTGATTTGTCCAATTGATGTAATGAAGCAACCGGAAGGCGACGGAAGTACTCCGGATATAACAGATATCCGGCAATTATCTGCATAGTTGACTGGTAGATAATGTCTATAGCTATTAAGTCCGCTATATGTACTTTTAAATTATAAACAATAAAGTCATATAAAGATATAAAATTGAGAAAAATGTGAACAATAATTATCTTTTACCCATAGAGATCCCGTTATCATTTAAAAAGTCAGTGTTTAAATAATTAATACAATAAAATTAATTTACGCAAATTCTCATTTATAATATTTGTAATCAGAATAAGAGCCCTGTAGCACCTGCAGCCTAGTAATGAAAACATTGGTAGGTTATTATAGGGTAGTAAAAACTACCCTGACATTTCAACCACAAAAGGTTGTTTTATATGTCTGCGGAGAGTCAGATAATGTAAAAAGAATATAAAACTGAAGTAATCCTCTGATTGTTTAGAGAAACATTGGTATTTTCATTATACTATAAGATAGTCGGGTCTTAACACAACACGAATCAGTTTGTGACCACGGCTAGTGCAACCTTTATTTACGTTCTAGTTTATGCAATTACTCCTGAAAGTATTTATATTTATAATCTTAGTATGTTTTATGTATTTTTTCAGATATTTTCTCACAGAAAACACCTCTGCAACCACCCTCAGCGGCAGATCCGTCACCATACAACATCAACACTTTCCAATCATCGAACTTCACCAAATTCGGCTTCCATGGTTACCATACCTCTTCGCCAGGTTTCTGGAACCCAGCACGCAACCAGTTCGAGAACAACTACGATAAGAAAGTGTATAGACAGACGGGTATTAACGGCCATTTCGGATATAATCAAAACAATTATAATACACCAAATAATAATGTATACCCGAATTACGACTCGACAGATTGGTTTCGACAGGCTTCTAGCGGTGTTACGCACTATAATCCTAGCGAATGGTGGAAGTAAGTACTTGGTTATTTAATTTGGATTTATGCAAAACTATGGCCCGCCTCGGCTGCACTCGTGCTCACAACTTCATGAGCTTTTTATATTATGTACATATATATATAGTATTCATTATAGTAAGTATTTAAGTACGTATATATTATTCTTCTGTATGCATATTAATATTGACATATTTACCTAAGTGAAGTAAATATCAAAATTGTGCCTTTTCTCATCATTGCCCTTCAACCGCTTTCTGTTTTTGGTAGAGCTTGCAATATCGGCTTAAGGTCTCCAATTGTACGAAAATTTAAAATAGAGCAATAAATATATAATATAGTCTATCTCAATCTGGATTAATGTACCTTGTACTCCTCCATCCGCGCAATTTTCGCTAACTGGAGTACAAAGTTTTTGTTTTACGTATTGATAACATAAATTTCATTTTTGTCCTGTTTCCATACAGATACATATCTCCATCCCGCTCCGACGTGACAGTACAACGTTCCGTGACGTTCCCGACGCGTTCAACCGTCCACCGCTCACGACGGCGACGCAACGCGGAGCTGGTCAGCGAGTCTGCGAAGAGAACTCTCAGCGGCGCCGAAGCACTCAGAATAGCTTTGGGTTTAGCTAGGTATATTGTACAATTCTCATATTTTTTATTATCTTATAAAAGGCTATCTCGAACCTAAGCAAGTTAGGCATTTTTAAATCTTATTTAACAGAAAACGTGATATTCATAATTATTTTTGAAATGTATCAAAATTATGCTAAATCATTGGTTGATAATGTTGCCTAGGGAACGCTTTAGTCTCAGGCGTAATTAAATTTAGTCTTAACGTAACAGAGTGATCCTTGTGACATTGCCGTTGTTTAAGGTTAATTATTTACAAAGATTTATTATATTTTACTTTATTATATTTATATAAACAAAACTGTAGTAACTATGCCTTATTTTTATTAATGCAATTGTGGATTTGGTGTATCTCAAACTAGGTACTGTTGAAACGAAATCCTTAGAAATTCGAATCATTAAAAAAACTTATGTAATTCTCATCCAGAAACATTATATATAAGAAATAGTACATAATTATCCATGAATGCTGATATACTATAAGTTTCAGCTTTCACAAGTTGTAACTTCGTTGAAATGTCCATTACCAACTTACATTAGTGCAGAGACAACAGCAGAGCGCCCCCGGCGACAAGCGGCGAATACACAAGACCTGTGTCGAGTGAGGACCGAATACATCACTCCACGGGCAGCGCTCAACAACAAGGGAAACTGGCGATACGTCGTCAACATGCCTGATAACATGACACAACTGGTGCGGGCAGAGATCTGCACGTAAGCAATATTTTTTTATATTAGAATTCCCGTCCCGTCCATCTCCCGGCCAATTCAAACGGGGATTAACGGTGTCTTCGGACTAAAGTTGTATCCGTCAGGCAGAAGTTGGCTTTCAGCAGTTCCATAACTTCTTCTGCGGGGTTGGAGTACCATCTGTGCTCGCCCCTCGCGTGAATCTGTAAAGGCCAGCTGTGGCCAACAGCATTAGAATAAACCGAAGAAGAAATTGAAAACAAACAAAAACAAAAAAAGAAACAATACAAAACTATTCTATGTGTTTTGCGCCATCTAGCGGCAAATAGTAGTACTATGAACAATTAATTTGTTTGTTTGAATTTTTTATTTTGTTTTAAAATCAATCCAATTTTTTAAAATATTTTTTCAGATCAACAGAATGCAGTGGATTATGCTCGCTACCTTCCGGATACAGTTCTAGGTGCGAGCAAAAGTATATTCAAAAACGTTTGGTAGCGTTAGAAGCAAGCGGACAAAATCTCTATACTGATATATTTTGGATACCCAGTTGTTGCCAATGTACTATTATAGCCAATAACTAGATACGAATAAATATAGTTCAATATGTGATAGAATTCTATGGTATTAAAAGATAATGAAACTACATTTATTTGTGCTATTGTACACTAGATGGCACTATATTTTACAAAAACTGACTACTCGATATTAAAAACATATCTACTGTATTTTGCCAGCATTATCCCCTGTAACACTGCCTTATTAGTTCTAAGATAATACTATTGTCATGAAGTCACACTTTTTCTTCTAATTATTTATTGCATAATTTTCTTTTGTCTAATTTGCAGAGGCTTATGACTCTACAAATTAAATTCTTTCATTTTATTGTCGATATGTAACAGTTAGTTATTGCTGTATTATATTGTTATCTTTAGTCTAAATGCTAAAAAAGTCTAACAATGAAGATCCATACATCCATCAGTACCCATATATACGAACTTTTAACTGACCGGTCCGCTTTTGACAATTCTTTCTTCTTGAAGTGGATACAAACTATACAAAATGGAGACGATTAAGAAGGATTTGAAAGTGAACAATACACGTAATTTTATAAATATTATATTATTATTATAATTTAGAATATGTGGTTTAATTAATACCGAAGTGGGTGCAATTTTCACATTTATAGATATTACATCTACTTAAATATATAATCTTATTCTTAAAAGAAAATGCCGACTATTTGGATGATCTTCAAAATAATACCATTTTATAACAAGAGATGGCGCTACTGTATGTTACGACAGTGGTTCACTAATATATACAATACATTTTATAATTTTATATATCCTAAAATCTTATGCTTAGTCAAAATAAGATTTTATATTCATCATTCAACTTCATAAACTGTACAGTACAAGTGGGATAGTCAAACCAAGAAATTCATACTTAACAAAAATTATAAACACAGCTGGTTCCGCGGTTTCACCCGTATGAAATTTATAGCCTATATGTTATTCTGATGTATAAGCGATATTACAATAAAGTTTCATCGAAATCCTTTTAGTAGTATTTGCGTGAAATAGTAACAGACAACCATACATTTTTTTTTTAAATCCATCCATACTCACTAACATACTTTCGCTTACAACATTAGTAAGATTTTGAGTCTATTTATATATCTGATGAATGAACAAATCCAATTACATTAAGTAGAAAAATCATCATTCTATTCTATTCATTATAGTTTTAGACATTTTATTGTTTACCTATTAAGTGTTTATCTTTTGGATTCTCCACCTTATGCCTACCTTTTAAGGTTTATAGTCCTAATCCCATTGTAAACAGTTTACCTATACCGAGGCTAAGAATTTACAAAGATCTCGTATTTTGGACTAAGATCGCTCACATCGTTCACTCACTCTAGGTATAGGCTATAATAGTACATTTAATAATATAATTTAGACGCTTAAATAGTTTAACACTGCGTAATGTTTTGTAGTACGTATCTCTGATTATCCCAACTGCGATTATAGTCGTGATGGAGTAATATTATTGTTTAATTATTAACATTTGTGGTGACATTTCGTGCTTATTAAATCATTGTTCTTTATTAGAAAATTATCATATAGCCACATTGTTATGCTTGCAACATGAATATGTAAATAATAAACAGATTTCTCCGAAAAAGTTTTTAGACCTTAAAATTTTAATATTAATCTTTCAAATTTTTTAACATACAGTTTGTTATTCAGAGTGCAATGTATTTTATTTTGAAATTAAACGGTCATTGAAATTATATAAAAATATAAATGTATATATTTTTTACTGATCTGACAAATGTCATATTATTAATTGAGTACCGAATAGCCTACCGTTGTAAATTTCATTACACATGGCTATTTAGTAATCATTACGAAATAAAAGAATGTTTTTTGCTACTTAACAAAAAGAAGAAAATGTCCAAAAACAGCAACAGGAAGAGCTGTACGGGCCTAGTTTCTTTGCTTTCGCTATTAACAAAAAAAATAGCGAATATTAAGAAAAACGAAAATGATTTGGTCATTTTCATAACATAGCATAGCAACAAGAATAGCTGCATTGGAATAGTTTCTTTGCCTTCGCTATTAACAAAAAAATATAGCGAGTCATATAATTTCAACAAAATAAGAAGTTTATTCTGTGGTATCAATTCTTTATTTGAGACCTAGAATGCAAATTAGACGAATCAAAAGAATTATTATATGTTTGTCTAACGAGGTTAGAGACACGTTGTCATACATAATAATAATACATTTATGTCACTATTGTATGATTTTATTAAGAAACAGTGATGACACTGTGTCTCCATTAATTTCTTTTTAATTAGGCTAAACGCAATTATCCTAAGGCAGAGTATTATATTTTTACAATTTAATATCGGCATTAAACATTTAACCAAGTATTAATACTAGAATAGTTACAACATTGTAAATATTAGTTACAAGTGGTTATTAGTTATTTAATAATATTTGTAACGGTTATTCCTAATATAATAAATAGAAAAAAAACTATTGTATTCATATATCTTTTTACAGTTATCTTCTTACATAGAGCTTGAACTCTATGGTCATATCGTCATTTCGACAGCGTCGGTGGTCTAGCGGTTTAGCACACCGCTTTACTTCCGATGTTCGCGGGTTCGATTTCTCGCTCGGTGCAAACATTTATATTCATGAGTATGATTGTTCGTATCGATTTGGGTGTTTTCTATGTTTACTATGTAGGTATGTATTGACAAAAATAAGTATCTAAGTATTTATGTTATTTGTCTAGTAACCATAATTATTTTTCAGAGTTATTTATTATACCAATGTACTGTAAATGTAATACTTTGAAGTATATTTGACACTATATTGTCTATGTAAGGATAATTGACCTCGTAACATATTAAAGGGATGTAGTTTTTTTTTTATATTTCATAGCTATGTTCTTACTGTAAGTATATATATACCTAAAAATAATCTGTTGAATAAAACCACTGTACTCGTTTTTATTTTTATTTTTACATAGTATAAAACAAGTCGTTGCTGCTGTTTCTTTGCTTTTAAATTACGCAAAAAAAATTAATATAGTTTTCGGAAATAGAGTGATTCAAGAGGAAGGTTTATATGTACAATACACGCGTGTTATAGTATAGAACAATCCGATACATTCAAAGATTTGATTTTTATAAAATAAAGCTATTTTAAATATTGAATTGAAGAAAACTAATGCTGATATATTATTTTTATCTGACATAAAATTTATAATTTGCAATCTAATTCTCGCTGTGAATACATTTCATTTAAAATTAATGTAGTAAAGGTAATTATTGTCTTTTTTATTTGTGTAATTTACACTATATTTTCTTATAAAAGTAGGTATATAAGATATTAAATGGTAAATGAAAAAAGTCTCATACATATTCATAATTAGATACCAATATATTTCTCCTCAAAATATTATATAAAAATTTGCAATATTTAAATTTACTTAACTTTTAATAATTTCCAATCTATAATCTTACTGTGAGGTACCTACATTTTACCTCAAAATAATGTATTGAAGAAAATTATTGTATTCCTTTGTAATTTTTTATAATTTATATAATAAAGTATGTTCTCAATATAAGTTGATATGTGTATATTAGATTTTAAATAATAAATTATAGACGTCGAATAATCGTTTTATTTTTAACAGTTCTAAGATATATTTTTAGTAAATATTTAATATATTGGTATATATCAGAGGTAGAGGTACAGGTTAGGATAGAGATTTGTACAAAGTCGTTTGCTCGGGTACCTCTGTATCGCCCATTGCAGTCAGCCGTCAAGCAGCTTGATTGTACGCTGTTTCGGATGTAGGGTGAGAAATGGTAGTAAGTTTATAACTTATAGAATAACAACACAGTTATTATAAAGATTAGAGCGAAACAAACGTAAAATTTTTAATGAAGCTTATCACGATACAGTAATGAAAACCACAACGAAATCAGCTTAAGACGTTTAGGAGAACAGTGCGTACAAACACACAGACAAATTAACTGTATTTTTAAGTTCTATTATCCCCAAAAAGGTAAAAATTTCCATGTTACATGCAGAGAGCGATCAGTGTCATCTTTTTTATAATTATACGTATAGGTATATAAATGAGTAAATTACCACGAATATAATTAGAAATTTAATTTTAATTTAAATAAGTGTTTCTGTACACAATTAGGTAAATAATTGATGTAATTTTTAAGAAAAGGTATAAATCTTGGTTAAATTGCGATTTGTCTCGATCGCGCCCTCCGAGACAACATATTTTCATCTTATTGAGTTAACGAGAGAGTGAGAGGGTGAAAATCGCCACATCTGTGAGGGATAGAAAATTCAACCCTTAGGCTCGCACCCTTGGGGTTACTGGGCCTACCTTAACAAATTTTCCCTTAGGCTTGAAACTTGATCTTTTCCGCGTTAACCAATATTTATACTATTATTGTTTTTTTCTTTTAAATAACTAAATTAAAAATATATAATGTAATTAAACATATTCAATTTTTTAATATTCTAAATATATTTCAAATTTACTGATATTTATAAAAATAATAATATCTACTGAAATTTAACGACTTAAAGAAAACTTAAATTAACTGCTATCTAATTATACCTGACAGTTTATTAATAACATAGTTCTTTCTCAGAACAATTATACCTAATAAAAATAACAGTAACAAATGTTTAATAGTACATCACTATTTAATAAATAAAAAAAATCCATTTTGTCAATTGAAAGTGTCGTCAATAAAAAGGAGAGAGCACTTACGGCGAAGCGTCGAAACTCGCGCCTTTAAAAATAAAAATTGAGGCAAAAGTCGCTCGACACGCGTAAAAGTAAAAGAGGAAACAGGGAAAAAATCAATGCTTGCGTTTTATGTTCTGTGCGTGTGACAGATCGGTTGTCATGACGACGACAGCGGGGGTCGCGCGCGCCGCGACCGAAATGGCCTATGTCGAACTAAAACATTAAAATGGCGTCTAGTGTTCCCGCGTAAAGTCGTAACATCCGCGGTTCGTTCCCGTTTACGCTTTTCTCATTTCCGCGATGGCAGTGTGCGTCGCGCGAGCGAGACGGAGGATGGGGTAAGGGAGTCAGTAATCGATATTACGCACTTTTGTAGCAATGAAATTGGCGCGGTACGATGCAAGAACGCTTTTTGCAGTTTTGCACGCACTGCAATCTTTTTCATTCTTAATGTCTCAAAGAATTTTTTTCTTATGTATTTATGTACATTAAATATAATGTAAGAATCTGTTAATGTATACATAAATATACATAAGTAACTTAATTATACAACAAAGAAACCAAAAATTAAAAATCTTAAAAAATATAATATATAAGTATAGTAGGTAAGTGATATTTGTAACTCAGAATCCAAATATATTTCCTAAAAATAATAATGAGTTAAAGAAGTCGAAGATTAGGAAAGAAATTGTACTTACATGGAACAAAATTAAATATATATATATATTTAATTTTGTTATATATATAATAAATTTTTTATATGAAATACCTGACGATGTAAAGGAGGTTTCTCGAAGCTAATTTATGAATAAATATAAATAATTGGTTACACAAATGATTCCACTTCTTAAACGAAATTTTAAGTACCTAATAATGCGATAATGTATCTATGATCTGACAAGATATGTTTTGGAATGAATTAATTTTTAAATAATTTTAAGGACAAAATCTAATGGGATATTATATTTTATATATAAAATATATGTCCTGTG